CTTTTTTTACCATGAATCTTCCTCCTAAATGAATCTTTACTTGCCATAATTTTCTTACGCCTGAAATCTCAAAAATGTGTAACCCCGTTCTAGTAACTCTATTAAAAATAGCTGAAAATGCAACGCCATAAAAGTCAATGCTGTCGTGAAAATGCGACCCTATCCAGCTGCACCTTGTTCGCCTATTTCTAAGAGTTTGAACCCTCATTCCCCTCCCCTCCCCTTCCCCCTCCCTGAATTTATATGTGGTTGAAATGGCAAAGAGTGATGAAGCAAAATATCGCACATAATCACTATCACTCATACCGTGATTGCAGCATTCCCACGTGCGTAAAGTGCTTGTAACATCTGGGAAACACACCCATGTTACACCAAAAAAACCCATGCGAAGCAGAAGAGGCCGATTACTCGCAATTTCTTGTAGTTTTAAATTTCTCTTTTGTTCTTCAGTACACGCATATGCTTGTATTTGGTTAAGAATATATGAAAGTCATATATTTGAACTGCGGATAAAGACGTGAATGAAAGTGATCCTCTTAGTAATGTGCACTACTTAGGCAGTAGTGAAAATAAGGCCTAAAAAAAAATTCAGGCCCGTACGGGATTTGAACCCATGGCCTCTGCGATACCAGTGCAGCGCTCTACCAACTGAGCTAACAAGCCAACAAACCCGTGAAGTGATGAATAAATGGTTAAGAATATATGAAAGTCAGTCCGCAGTTCAAATCGATTTAGCGCTTGGGGCGCTTATTTACTTTTGGAACCTCAAGGGAGGGCGCTTATTCGGGACAGGGCGCTTATTTAAGTTTTTGAGAAACAACCAAATGGTTAAAGCATAACTTTAATAAATATTAAAACAACTAACAATAACAGAAACTGTAACAGTAACAAATTGTTGAAAGTTCAGTTACTTTCAAAAGCATTCTTCATTTTATATATCGTAGCTGTAACAAGTATACATGTACGGTACGTTGAATGTTCGTGAGTTTATCTACCGTATTCGATGTCGATGACTTCAGTGTCACTTACGTCAATTATCAAGCTATTTGGTGCCGCATCCTCGACGTCGGATTCTGTGATCCCGTCGAAAGGATCCTTGTCGCGTGAATTGCTCATGGCTTGTTGAACAACCTTGAGCCGTTGTAGACCTGCACGGCAGGGCTGATTTTCCTTGAAGCAGTGAATGTGTCCGTCTTCTAATCCATCCACTGCAACGGTTAGCGCGCAGCTCTTGAATGAATTGATAATCATTGTTTTGTCCAAGCCATCCCACGCCGCAAGGATCCACTTAACTATCTCTCTCCGGGCTAGAGCACGCATGTTTCCCGCTGCAGTGAAAGAGTGGGCTTCACCAGCCATCCATTCATCATATTTCTCCGTGACATTTGCTTTAAAAGGCTTACTCCAAACCACGTCAGGCGCTTGAATGTATTTCGTACAACCCCCTGGGACGATTAAAGGATCTATCTTTGACGTGCGTAGTTCTTGTTTGACTGTGTCCATCACGTGGCACTTGAACGAATCCCACGCCAAGATTTGTCGAGTGAATGAAAACTTCCCCAGAACACTTCTTACCCAGTCAAGGGTCAGTTCTTCGTTCATCCACCCATTAGAAGATAATGCTACAACACATTTAGCCTTAAATTCTTCATTGGGTAATTTGGTTTCTCTCTTAGCACCGGGAAAGACGATAAAAGGCTTCAATTTCGTTCCATCTGCTTTCGCTGTTAAGCAAACTGAAACCTTTGTCTTCTCGTGACCAGTTGTTTTCATGGCTATGGTGTTGTGGCCGATGGAATCAACAGTTGTATTGGAAAGCATGTCTTGCCAAACGGCTGTTTCGTCCATTGCTATAATGTCACTGTCACTGTAGGAGAACTTTACACGTAGCCGTCTTGTTTGTAACACATATATGCGATCAGTTTGTCAATTAGTTTTTCGGGATCCTTTTGGGATTCCGTTGTCTTGCGCCGTATGCATAACCCATGTCTGGTCATGAACTTCTGCACCCACCCAATGCTTGCCGTGAATGTTGGAGGAAGTTCCATTTCCTTGCATTTCTCCTCGTAGAGAAACCTTGCTTTGCTTCTGATCATTTTCCTTGATATACGAAATACGATAGATACGCGTCGTTCGTGGACCCATTCCAACAACACTTCTTCAATATCCAGATCAAAAGGCTTTCTTCCCGCCCCGGCGAGCCGCTTTCGCTTGCAACTAGCAGATTCTAATTTACTCTGGTTTGCTCGCCACTCTCGTATTCTTCCGGTCCACGTCGAACTTCTACGCTGCTTGATAGTTACTATTGCATTCCACGGCAAACCGTATGGCTTCTAGTTTAAATTCTGTTGAATAAGAATTGACCTTTTGCCGGCATGAGACTGAGAAGCATCAGCCTCCATGTTTTTACACAAAGTGATCACTGTACGCAGCTGGATACGTGTAAGAATGGGTTTAGGATTGCAAGTGAACGTGACTGCTTGAAGCTGTTAATGATTCACCGAATGTAAGAACAATGCAAATGACGTAAATTATGAGGAAGAAGCGGGAAAGCAGCTACGCGCCGAAATTACCAGTGCTAAATATCTACGATTATGGCGTGTTCTGACTATCACTTGATTTGGAATTCGATGTTTGTTTATGAAGTGGAATTTTCATCCGTTATACGAGGTCATCATGTTTACAAAGCGGCGTGGTCTCCAGTCATAGGAGAGTCTCTGGCATGCAGGAATGATGACCGTAAAGAAGCTAAAGAACACGATGAATACGCAGTTGGGACTTACCATGAAACTGATAACAAACTTGTTGGGCATGTGCCGATGGAACTTTCCTTCCTTATATTCACATTTCTCAAAGCCCGCCATGAGAATAAAGTACAGGTCAAAGTGACTGGATCAAGAAGACTGGAAAACGGACTTGTTGTCCCCGGAGCGTTCCTAGCGAGAACAACCAGCAGAGCAATCGCCACAAAATTTGAAGAAGAGATTACTCGTTTGAAGGAATTATGTACTCACATGGACATAACAGTTGAGAAACTCAAACGAAGACCACTGTTTTTGTAATGCATTATTACGTACGGTATGTCGGCTATTAAAGGAAGATGAACCACGTTTGATACTTACGGTATTCTGAAGGCGCTGTAATATTAGAACAAGGGCGCTTATTAGAATAGGGGCGCTTATAAGAATGGGGGCGCTTATTAGAATGGGAGCGCTTATTGGAATAGGGGCGCTTATTAAAAAAAACACATTCGAAAGGGGGCGCTTATTCGGAAGGGGGCGCTTATTGGAAGGAGGGCGCTAAATCGAATCATTACGGTATTGTAAGGGTTTCCATATATTGGTTTTGGGAAAAAGAATCGAAATATTATATCACTTTAAGCCATTCGATACAAAAATTATAATAAGACAGGTTGATTATTTCTTATTCCTCTTGGCGATCTCATCTAAGTACAATTTCTTTCACCTTTTCCTTATTGCGGTTGTAAATTTGGTACGGAAACAGTTGCTCAGTTTCTACGGTGATTAGATCTTGTTGTACTATTTTTTGATAAGCTATGTTTTTAATTATGTCAATTTTCTAGTTGTAAATCTCTCTGGTAAAAGTTAACCTCGCACAGGTATTCCTGGAAACTCCTGCTTCTTATACTATTGATTACTATCAGACTGGTTTTTTTTGGTCAAATTCTAAGTCAAATTCACGATTTCAGAATGTTTCTCAAATTTTAAGTTAACACCTTTAACACCTCTTTTTAAAAAAAGGTGACTATGATTGTAAATAGCTTATGCTTTTTCATCTCCACACTGAATTTGTAATTATATAACTTATGAGAATAACACGTAGTTTTCTTAGGGGCGGTACCTTAAGTACGCCCCTTCTTCTCCAAATTTTCTGTTTACTCTGTTGTTATATAACAATCTTCTAAGGCTATTTTCTCGTAAACTATCTTTTCAAGCGTAATTTCAATTCTGCCAATAGGTTAATTATAATTTTTATATTATCAATCTTCCCTTCGTTCTGGCCGGTCTTAACCGTAAAATTAAGAAATTTAAGGTAGAAGATGATTTTGTCATTCAGTAAACAATCCGAACTGTCGTACGTACTCTAATGTGATTCGCTGGCTGAAACGGAGCGATCGCGATGTAAGAAGATTGACAGCTTAGAAGTGTCATCTTTGGTGTCACCTTTATAAGCTGGTGCACAGCATCTTTCAATCAGAGAGAATATAGCAAAGTAGAACAGTGTGGACTTATGTCAAAAGAAATAAGTTGAACTGTGGTGAATAAGATCAAGACTAGCTAGTCCCCGAGAGTAAGAATTGTGGTATGAGCTCAACCAGGAAATAAAGAAAATTCAACCGAGTGTAGAGAGAGAGTAATTCTTCTAACAATAGAAAAACATCAAAACGAAACGACCATAGCGAAAAGACCGAAATTGGCTTAGCTGCCGAAACGTCCAAAAAAAACCCTGAAACGAAAGAAATAATGCTATAAATTTTTTTATGTCATGAGTGCATGTTTCCGTGGGAATTTCCATGTCAGCAGCTTGCTGCGATTCTCGCTACTCTTCGTTATGTTTAGCGCATGGACGATTCCAAAACCCTTCGTACTTGATCTTGAAATTGATCTTAGCACTAATCTGAAACATTCGAAGTCCATTTCAATTTAATAAATGTCGAAACAGCCGTGTCAAGACAGTAAACTTCGCAACGATCGATGCAATCACAATGGCGTCAGGACTTCGGACTTCTTCGGAAGGATAGATCTCGAATTCGGAGCCGACTAATTGCGACTAATTACGAAGAGTCCAAGCTAATTTGCATATCCTAAAGTGCCCACAACAACTCGTTTCTACGCTATCGCGTATCCGCGAGTTAAAAAAGCACAAATCGATATACTAAGTTTGAAGCAATTCTCCAAAAATGCTATTCTATTCACTGATTTCATCCTTATATTCTTGTCTTTAAATATCTAATTTTCAGATATTTGTATTATAACCACATGAGGGAGATTCCCTACGAATTTTTTAAAGAGTTGAAGGATATATTACGAATGTAAGATTTTGATGTGACGTATTTGATACATTTACAGTTTATTAGCTGAGCTATATGAATAGAAAGCGTCTGGGGGTTCCTTTAATTCAAATATTTACTAACCCAGAGCTTCAGGCAAATCTATGTGGTTTCTATACTTTACTAAATATCTATGGTCGGTATTCTTACCCTATTGACGACTTTTATTACAACCTCCATTTTGTTGGGTAATACGCCTCACAAAGACTGCTATTGCGCACTACATTGCTTTATAATATTTCGAACATATTCAATGAAGATTTATAGTCACAAAAACCCCCATATGAGGTAATGAATTATGATGGACTGATCTCGCGTTACCTTTGTGCTCTTAGGGTATAGGCTTTTGGTTTTATCTTTCACTTTATCCTTATGAACTGAATGGCATCAAATTTTACGGTTGCAGGAGTTTGGACACAAATCTGATGTGTTGTCATATGCACAAGGAGGACGCTGACTGCGCTTTCATTGATAACGACGACTTTTCCAACTGTGAGAGCATGTTTAAGAATTCTGCCCCGAGAAAGAGTATCTGGGCGATAGGAATCTTTTCTCTGGTTGGTGCAGTGTTTGTTATCACGTGGCGAGTAATCTTTAAAGAAAAGAACGTAGTACAGTCTATCATGTTGCTCCACTTAGCAGTGTCCGATGGTTTGATGGGTATTTACCTGGTCTCTATTGGCACTAAAGATCTGTTGTGGAGAGGAGAGTATTACCTGCATGACCTCCAGTGGAGGTCTGGTTTGTCTTGTCAAATAATTGGAGCGATCTCCCTCTTGTCAAGTGAGGTGTCGGTTATGATGATGACTCTGATATCTGCTGATCGGCTTAAAAATATTGTGTTTCCTTATCAGGGTGCTTCTCTGAAACCAAAGGTAACACATATCCTATGCATCATCATATGGGCAATTGGCTTCCTTATGGCCTTTTTGCCCATGTTTGGTATTCAGTATTTTGAAGACCATTTCAGGTACCATAATTATTATGGTAGAAGCGTGGTATGTCTGCCCTTGCAGCTTACTTCTGATAAGCCGGCAGGTTGGGAGTATTCTGTCGCTATCTTTCTCGCTTTGAATTTTGCTTTTTTCTTGTTCATCATGGGTGCTTATCTCATGATACTAGTCAAGTCTTACTTGTCTAGCCGGCGACTGGCCCGTCAGGGTACTGAAAGAGAGATCCAGGCCAGAAGAGCAAACTTTAGGAGGGAAACGGCTCTTGCAAGGCGGGTGTTTTTCATCATCCTGAGTGATTGTGTGTGCTGGATGCCGGTGATAGTGATTGGTATGAGGACCATCATCGAGAAGTCTTACAAAGCGCAAGGAGACCTCGCTGTCTGGATTGCTGTGTTTGCCCTTCCGATCAACTCGGCCTTGAATCCTATCCTGTACACCTTTTCAACAGAACAGGTAGTTATGCGCTTTTAATCCATAATAATTAATCAAGATTATAAATTAGATCCGTAAGTAGATTAATAATGGCTAGTTACAGGAAGGGTAATGGTTTTCAGCCGACTCGAAGCAGTGTATAATTTTGCTCAAGGCTGCTCTCTTTACCTGCAATTGACATTGAAATGTTTTAAAAGCACTGCACAGGAGAAATTCGTTAGTTTCTATTTTGTCATCGGAGCCCAGTTCAAGAAAGTGAGCGAAATCTCGATTACTTTTGGCTATTGCGTATCCAGGTCAGAGGCATTCTGAAGAACAAAATGGAAAAAGTTTGGAACTACTTGAAGACCGTTTTCACCTGCTGTGGTCGTGATCAGGAAGGTGCGATGTAATTATCACATATTTGAAGAAGTAAAAATACAGCTAACAGCTCCTGATAAGAAATAAACCGAACAACAGTGTAAACTAATAGATTGCTGCAAATTTAGTTTTTTGACTGATTCATTCAGTCACTCGTTCATAAATCAATTCACTCATACATGCATGGAGGCATTCATTCAATCATTTATTCACTCGTTCGCTCCTTCGTTCTTTTATTAGTCGCTTCATTTGTTGTACGAACTACTCGATCATTGACTTTTCTTCGTTTTTCTTCTTTAAAACGCCAAGGAGATGGGGAGCAACCGAACCATCAGGGAATAGAAGACAACGAACAACAAGGCGCCGAGGGAGGTAAATCCTAACGCGTATTTCTGGAAACTGGTAAAAACTGTAAATGAGGGAAATAAAGGGCAATCTGTGACTAAAAACATTTTCTTATATCCTCTTCATTTTAAGGAGAAGGTGGGGGTGAACAAATGGAACTGGTACATGTTGGTGTGCATCATCCCTTACTAGGCGGGCTGCGTTTTCTAATCCAATGTTATTCTTGTCTGGAAGAAAAATACCGTGTTGAAGTGTTCATTACTGATCTGTTTGTTTTTAATTGTATCCCTGGTGATTTTGTTGTGTGCTCTGTTACCGGAGGGATCTTTGACTGCTGACTTTCGTGCTTGCAAATAGAGTTTATTATTATCTTTACAATAAATCATCCAACCTTCTTTGTTCATCACGTTAATCTCAAATTATAGAACCCATTCCTTCTTTGGTTTGTTAGTACTTTCGTTCTCTATATTAACTGTATATTTCCCGTTTGTTTTTTTCATAAACCTCTTTACGTGTTTTTTTTTTCTTTAAAAAGGCCAAGGAGAGGGAGAGCAAGTGAACCAGCACAGAATGGAAGACAATCAAGAACATGGCGGCGATGGAGGTAAAAACCTTTTAGGTGACAGTTAACATATCATGAAAATTTCAACTGAGGGCACAGGGTTAGTCTGTGTAAATTTTTTTTATCTACTCCCCTTTTTCAAGGAGAAATTGAGGGTGAAGAAATTGAAATGGCAAGTATTGGTGTGCATCATCCACAACAAGGTAAGGCTAGAGTTTCTAATTCAATCTAAAGTTTTCAATGCTATTCTGTTAGTGTATATTGTATATGATAAGGAAGGAACTGTGACTTTAGGATATTTCTTTACACACATAAAGTTTACTGTTATCATTTTAATTACCCATCTTTCTTGTCCATTACGTTTTAATAGTTTGAAATTGTAAATCTCGTTCTGCGTTCGTTACAAAATTTCTTATTTGTTTCCTGGCTCGTTCACCATTTTTTTTCTTTGCTTTCTTTAAAAAGGCCCAGGAGATGGAAAACAACTGGACCAACAGGGCATGGAAGACATTGAACAACATGGCGGCTTGGGAGGTAAGACATTTTTTCTTTTTAAAGAACACAGTACGGACATCATGAAAACTGAGAATGACAACACAGTGGCAATCTCTTACTATATGTTTTATTTAATATTTTTTTCCAGGGGAAGTCGAGGGTGTAGTTATCGAAGTGGCAAATGTTGATGTGCGTCATTCACAACAGGGTAGGCTAAAGTTTCTCCTCTTATGTCATCTTTATATAAACAACAGTTCCGTACAGAAGTTTTCATTGCTGTTCTGTTAGTTTATATTGCCAAGACTCTACAATATGTTGTATTAATGGTAGTTTTTATCTTTTTCTGTACCTCTGGAGGGATCTGGAACAGCTGGATATTCTCATAGACACAAATCAATAAAGTTAATTTACATCATTATAGTTATCCAACATTCATCGTTTATTACGTTAGTTCTAAATTCTACGAATCTCGTGTTCTAAGACAATTTTGTCAAGTTTAAAAGTTTTGAAAAATTTCTTTGTCTCCAGTCATTGTCATTATCTGAAATACAGAAAAAAAAAAACTAACTTGCTTCTGAAACAATCACCGATACTAAGATAATGAAGAATAAGGTACAATATTGTTTATTAGTCTAAAACACAAAAGAATGACAGTATTTACCTTTTTGTTTCAAGGAGGACTTGATGAAGCCGAAAGAATCGAACCGGCACCTATTGGGTATGCTGATCCAAATCAAGGTAACTTTTCTTACCTTCTTTATAAAAAATCTTTAGCCTATCATTTCCATGAGAAAATTGGTCGCTATTCTTTGTTTGTTTGCCAACTTATCCAGTGTTGCTGTATTAGAAATGGAAGGACCTTCTAAGGACTGTCAAGCTCTCCTGTGTATCGATCAGTTAAGAATCTCATTACCTCCCTCACGCATTGCTTAGCTCTGAATAAAGTAGCTTTTAATTTCTCAGCTAGCTTTCTTAACCCTAAAACTGGTGGTCAAGTCAAAGAATATCAATTATCCTCAAAGAAGATTAAGAGATAAAATTCTTTAATGCAAATGAGCGAAATTTGGGTGCAATAAGTTGAGATTTTCCATAATAGGTTGCGGACAAAATGAACGGCAATAAGTATGAAAACATCTAGTTGAGTATAGATTCATGTAATTCTTATTTAGAAGCTTTAAAATTCCTAAGTAATTCTTTCAACAAATTGTCAAGCAAAAGATGAAAATGACAGCACACTAAAGAAATCCCTAAGTTTGACATCCATCGATTACGTGTAATATTACAAGTGTTTGATACCTGGTGAATGCAATGTTACGACCACGAAAGCAACGTATTTCGGGTTTTTTATCCGTTTTAATTTGGCTTTAGGTTCGTTTCGCAAAGAGGGCAATGTTCTGGTGCGCATTTCGATGAGTCCTATCATTATTATATCCTCTTCTTTCGCCGACATCTTGCAGAAAAATTTTTTAAAATTCTTTTCGTTCCTATTTTTATTAATTTTTCCTTTATTTGCTGTTTCATCAAATAAAACAGATTTGCTTCGAATTTATTTAAAATACCTCAGTAAAAACAAACAAACGAACGAACCAACAAAGCAAAACAAAAAGCAGCTAATTCGGTTTACTTCTTCAGCATTACCCTGCGGATTACCATACAGTTCTCTGTTTATTTCTGTCTTTTTTTATTTAACACAGAACAAGGAGGGCAAGAACTTGAACTTTCTGAGTCTCTTAAACGACGAAATTTTCTCTCGGGCTCACATTGGCCTCAATCACAAAATTAAAGTTCCGATTACAACAACTGGAGGAAGTCTCTTTATAAACGCAAAGAAATTTCGTATCACGTATTTGAATCAGAAGGAAAGTTGAGTTCACAGAAAATTTGTTTTTCTTTCTGCACCACACAATAAGATGCATTATGGTGCACAGAAAAATAATAAAAACTCTTTGTTCAATTTAAAGTTAATAAATACCATAAACCATTCTCCTGAATGCTGTACATGAAATAACAGAATCACCCTACAGTCCAGCAAATAGAAGTTCCTCTCCAAGTTGATCCTATTACATGGAAGCTAATTTTCAAGAGAATTACATTTAAAGTGTCGTTAACCAGTGCCATCAAGTTAAGCAGTTGCCACAGCGTATTAAATACCTCATCAAATATGTGATTTTATTTACTTTGTTCTTTTCATGTTAGGAAAACGGAACCAGAGTTTGAAAAAAGGAGACGATAACTTCAGGCATTCCACCGAAAAGAAGTAAGTGGTGAGCAGCGGGATATACACAGGTTCACTTTCCTTGAAAGAGACATCCTGTTCGTATTACAAAGTTGACGGACGTTGACATCGACAAACTAACCGCTGAATTATTTTAATTACTGGCTTATTTGCCCACCAGGATGCTCCTTTACCTACTGGCTAAACGGTTGAAATAGTGACTGTCCCTGGCGGACTTACCTTACTGACTGACTGACTCACTAACTTCCCTACTCACTGATTAACCAGCCGACTGACTGACTGTTTGACTTACTGACCAAAATGAGTGAGCAACTTTTCAACCGACCGACTGACTACTTGACTAACTGACTGAAAGAATGCTGGCCAATCACCAGAACAACTGATTGACTGTTTCACTGACTGGCGATGTGTGTGCCCAACTTAGCAGCCAACCGAAAGATTGATTGATAGTCTGTTTCACTGACTGATTGACTGACTGAGTAAATGACAGAACGGGGCTTTTTACACAAATGATTTTTTGCAAGATAATAGCGATTGAGTAATTCTTTTCTTTTTCCTTGTTTTGCTTTTTTTTTTGCTTTGTTTTCTTTTACAGACGAGGGAAAAAATCAAGATTTTCAACGCGTCGAAAGTCACCTTCGGATACCGAAGCTGCCCTTGAGGAACACACTTTTGAAGAGGAAACAAAACTGTAAGCAGTTAAATTCGAGGAAATTATTACAAATTCTAAGCAATTTAACAAGGAGAAATGGCAATTAGAAATCCACAATCTCGTTTTTTTTATTAAGCGTATAAGATGCTCGAGTTAGAAAAAAACTGTTTTGCTAATTTTGTGATCTCTGGCTGTCTTAAAAACATCCCCAACACGATAAGATATGTCAATTGGCTTAACGAAAGGATTTAATACCAAGAACTGTTATGGGAACTAATTATGAAATAGACGTTTCCGGAAATTTTTAGAATGCCTGTTCACGGTGACTTGGATATATCAGGTTATGTGATTATGATGTAATTCTAACAGTATAGTAGTGTGGTACGCTTGCGGAATGTTGTAGAATATGTTGAGGAATTCAGTAATTTAGAAGCAATTGTGCATTTCAAGCTATACCGTGAGATAGAGCTACTGTGATGCACTTCAAAGATGTGCATTTAAAGGGAATTGGAAAGAAACAGAGAGTTTGAATCGGCGGAGAAGAAGGTACAGTCTGTAGTGGTTTGTAGAAGATAATCACTGTATTGCCTAAAGGAGTCGATTCTTAGTAAACATACGTTTTCACACATTGTTTAACAACTTAGTTCGGTTTGTCGTAGTATAGTATTCTTTCTGTCTATAAGAATATACCGTGACAAGAGATTCAAAAGTGGTTTTCAAGAGTTTTGATTTAATGCTTGCTCATTTTTCCTGCTTGGTTATGTGCTTCATTATTAGAACAATACCAGGTTTTTCTTTATATTTTCTGCAGAGTTCAGAAAATGCATGCTTTCTGACTCATTGAATTATCTAACAAGTTGACCCTCATTAAAAACAAAAATGGTAATCTCTGTGCTTATATGGCATATGAAATTTTAATAGGTGAAGTTTTAGCAAATTGATAAATTGGCATATCAAAGTAGGTGCAAGTTATAGTAGCACCATTGAGCTCATAGAGGTTGATTTAAAAAATTATTTGTTAGTAATTACATAATAATACAAATGCTGTATTTAACTGGATTGTTACTGTAATCATTATGATAAAAATAAAAAT